GATATTCAGAAACTCAATTCCCATTTAGGGCTTGTATCTCATTACAAAAATATTTATTCCTTAAAAAAATACACAAATGTAAAATACTACATTTTCTATTATATCCCCACTTACTTTCCAAGTATGCCATTTGGATGTTGGATTAAATCAGAAGGCAGAACACCCTTCATTTCTCTAGCAAGTCTGTATGCTATCTGCCTGCTCTGATTAATTTGTTGTATCTTTACATTTTTAATCAGTAGTGATCTTAGGTAGAACAGCAGGGGACTAATATATTAGCTGTTGGGGAAGTCCCACTTAATATTTGCTCATGAATACCACTGCTGTGGTAGCAATGCTGACTCGGGACCTGATGTGACCAGGTGCTAAGCACCATTTCAGTTTGTATTTTTCTGAGCAAAAGTAGCAACGCTCAGGGTTAGTCTCTAGGTTTACACCACCCCAGGCAAACTCAGCAGCACATAAAATAGGTACAGGTAGACAAATAACACCCAGACTACATCCTGTGTTAATCATTCATGCCCTGATCTTGCAGACACCTACACACATTCCTCCTGTGAGTAGTCCTGGTGACCGAAATAGGTCTACTCACAGCAGAATTAGGCATATGCGTTTTTGTTTGCAGGGCTGAGGTCTTCTATTGCACCGGTAGAGGTATGCTTCATGGAGAAGGGCTTGTGCACACTTCTCTTGCTGGGGATTGAAAGATAATGTTGTGTTTATACAGCTTTGGAATACAGCCTGCACTTTTTTTTTTTTTTTGGAAAAAAATAAAGAAAAAAAAGATACAAAACGAAGAAGGAAACCCAAGAGTGCTAAGGCAAACTGTCAAATGGCACATCATACCTACTTTGTCATTCATTTAGATAACATCACAAAGGCAGACCAGAGGAGTTCTGTAAACATATACCATACAGTACATCAGCCACAGGAAATTAAAAAAAGAAAACAACCCTGTAATTCTTTTCTTTCTGTATTGATATTCTTGTAATTGAAAGAGATTGCCTAGCCACTAATCATAATGCTGTGTATTTTGTTTTGTATTTTTCTTCTGTTAAAAAAAAAGAAAGAATGGAAGTAAAATGCAGTGGTTTGCAAAAGAAACAGCCCCTGAATGCCAAAGAGGGACAACATGGAAAGTGGGTTCATAGAAACTTAGAGAATACAAAATATAAAAAAGTTTCATAGGTTACTTTTTCCCAGTCTAGGAAAAGATACACTGAAAAGAGGTTTTTTTTTTTTTGTTTTTCTTACAAAAGTTAAGGCGAGCAGTTTGTTGTGGCAAAATGCTATGACTGAACCAGTTTCTGACTCTACTTTTTTGTATCCCCTCATGCTGAAATTGCAAATGTACATGTGATGGAATAAGTTAAACAGATAGGGAGTTTGCTTAAAACAATTAAAAAAGAACCTTCTGTAATGATCCTCACAAAAATGTCTCTCTGCTTGACTGTAGAGTAGACCTCTTCTTTCGCACCTGATTGTGCATGAATTTCCACGGGCAGCTTCCTATCTGAGGGCAAAACCTGACACCTTTGAAGCCCAAAGCAGCCCTGGTAAACTGGTTTACATTCATCAGCCTAGGCTAACGCATTTGAATTCCCCCGTTACTTGGCTGCAGGCTAATGGCTAGAAAGGACATGCTGATGTTCAGGCATGGCTGCTTCCCTTTCGTTGGAGGATGATTGGAGTAAATGTGTTTCAGCCGACATAGCTAAAGCCCTCTGAGCTCCGACCAATTTGCTCCTGTTTCTGACCTCAGACGTGGAACTGCCTTTGACCCGTAAAGACAAACCCTATGCAGACAAACCTTTAGCTTTCCTGGATCTTTTGAAGCCCATTAACCATAGAGTTCATATGAACACGTAAAAAACACTGGCCTTCCTAGGCACTCAATGTTAGCTACAAGTACTGAGCAGTAGGTATTTGGCAGGTTTAAGGTTTAAGGCTTGTGCTCTACTTCTAACCACTAAAGGGCCACTTCTGTACTCTTGCGTGCCACCATCTCCCCGCCACATTGTGCCTCAGATGATGCAGTGGTCTCAGACACGTTCTGGTCCCAGCCTCAGCAAGCATCTCCCGTAGCTGGCCGCTGAGGGAGTCATCCCCAAAATGCTGAGTCCGTGCTGAACCAGAAGGACATCTGACAGGGGAGCAAGTGGCTGAAGAGATGCATGGACAGAGTGGGTTAGGGTAAAAACGACATCCCAAATTTCCCGAGCAGAGGGCTTTGGGAAAAAATGTCCAGAGTGGGGAGGAACGGCAAGGAAATAAAGATCAGGCTGGGAAGACACTGGGAGGCCAGGGTGGCTGTGAAGGTGGCATCACACCTGGAGAGGAAAGGGTGGTGAGCAACAAGACGACCAGCCAGGCCAGGAGGAGGTGGCTGGAAGATTTGGGTTTGAGCATTAGTGGTGAGGTGAACAGGCCCCAGAGTGAGAGAACTATTGCAAAGCGTGCCCGGCTCCCATGGCGCTCACAGGGTAGGGGCAAGACAGAAAGGGCTTCCCCCCTTGTGTTGCAGTGCTTTGGGGTCCTAAATGTGCCTGGGGACAGCCTCGCCAGGCCACCCTGGGGTTGAGAACTCAGGGTCTCATTTTAAGAAATGTTGAGATTTGTAAATGATTAGCGTTTCTGGGAAAAAAGGAAAAAAAATCACATAAGCCAACCAAAAAAACCCAAAACACAGGTTGCTAGTTTCCAACAAACAGCCACCAGACCTATTATCGCAATGCGGGGCTCTGCGCCTGTTGCCCTCTTTGATAAAACTTAACCACCTAAGCCTGAGTCAAGGGATGATGTGCAGAGCTTCTGTGGGTGAGTTTGGTCCTTCTCCCATCCAATATCCCCCAGGGCAAGCGGAGGGAGTGCGTGGAAGTCCATTAAATCCAGCCACTGCAGCAGATACGGAGGCCAGCAAAATTTATGCAGGTGTCATACAGATGTGGCTGTCTTTTCCTACTATCCACTTGCTTTTTCTTTCTGACTGTCACCTGAGCAGTGGTGAGAAGTTACATTGACCAGCTCCACACTGACAGCTGAGTGGCCTAACGCAGGAACTATCTTTTGCATTTTTTTGTGTGTATGTTTTCAATGTGCCTCATATTACCACCACCGTCAACAAGTGTCTTTTTTACTGGCACAGAAAGAAAAGAGTACAGAGCAAGAACTCTGTTTAATCAGATGCTCTGAACTAACAATTAATGCAGTAAAAGCACCATCCAAGAAAGAACAGAAATATCATAGGAACCACCTCAGACTGAAAAGAGGCTTTTTGTTGTTTTCTTTCTTTCTTTTCTTTTTTTTTTTTTTTACTTTTTTCTTTACTTTTTTTTTAATTTTGTTTTTCAGTTGCTGTTATTGATTTTTAAAGTCTGATAGTTTTAAAGACACTTCAAAATAATCTTCGGTACTTCGGTACTATCAGAAAATATAAATCCTGATTTTTAATCTCACTTCTGTAGTTATGAATCCAGACTAACTCCACTAGAGTGAGTGAAGCCACACTTAAGCAAAACTGGTGTGAGACAAGAATCAGGCTCATAACATCTCGCCATGAAAAAGCTGGCTGCTTTTTCATTGTAGTTAGAAGAATCAAAGGACCAAGAAACAAAGAAACATCTATGAATTTTGGATGCCTTTGCCTTTTTACATTTTCACCTTGTGTTGTTTATAGCAGGCCTGATTTTCAGAGGGCAGATGAAAAAAAATTTCCTGGAAATCAGGCCTGTTTGAAGTGTCCCACACCTGAAACTGAAACATCCAATACCACCAGCAGTTTTTGAAAATGTTAGCCTTGAGGCTGCAGGATCTTCTCCCAAAACAGCTGCTCCGAAAAAAACTCTGGTGGTCCTCCACATGAGTTTTACCTGGGCAAGCAGAGCAGGATCAGACCCATCACCTATCATTACGTAGGTATGCTGAAGGTACGCTCTATGAGAAATTACGCTTCCCTAAGAATTACAAAATTAAACTCTGGCCCTTCCCAACACTGAGAATTTCGTCACTGAATCCAGTGGGAACAGGGTCAGACTGTGAGAGAAGTTCGTTTATATTCTAAGGAAATAAAAAGCAGTATCTCTCATCTACTGGAGTTCAGCGGGAAAACTTCATGGATAAACATTGGCAGAGTTACTGAAAGGCAAGTAATTAGATCAGTGACTCCATTTCGGTTGGTGTGACAGCTGCATCTTTTTCATGTCAAGTTAATTTCAACTGTAATTTGGGGAGATGAAGTATACACACAATACTGTAATCTGGAAGATTTATATAAGGCAAAATCATCATTCATACATTTTCCAGAAAGAATAATTAAGGTCCACTTTTGGTATTACCAATAAGCAGAAATGGCTAATGGGTTTTTCTGACACCGCAAACTAAACCGGAAAGATACTATAAAACAAAACTATGCAAACTTTTGGGGAAAGACTTGTCTGAGTTTTAGGAAATTAAAACAGTAAAATGATCTAAGCCTCCTCCCAAGAAATAAAAAGTAGGATCTATAAGATAATGTTTAAATGTGATTTTTCTTAAAAAAGAGAAGCAACATTTTTTAAGGCTCTCATATTTGTCTGCTGTGAAACTCAGACTCCCACAAAATCCTAGGAATCTGATCAAGCCTGCCAGATATCCAAAGAAAAATGTAAAAAGTGTTTTCATTATATATATATTATATATATATAAAAATCAAATAAATATGAAAACATTTGTTCCATTTCCCATTTGTCTCTCACTCTGCAATATTAAGGAAAAAAAACCCCCAACAACAGAAAAAAAAAAACAAGCAACAAGCTCCCCAACCCCTCCCCAAACCCCAAATAGTATGTCTGATGGGAAAATAACCATGCGTTCCTCTTCCTGAAGAACTAGAAAGCAAAGCAACCCAACTGCAAGGCAATGGAGGCATTCACTTCCAGTTCACAGTATTGCAGTTAGAAGTACAGTGAGGTCTAGGTAAGTGATGGAGCAGGAGCTGCCCGGAGCGGGGAAGGAGGAGGTGTTCACATGACAATACAGCATTGACAGCGCTTTTTCTTTTGTGTACCTGGGGCAGCTTCCAAGGGCAGGCTCTCTTCCTTCCCCTCGGGAGAGGAGGGCTCTGTCGTGTCCGACAGGGGCCTGCCAGAGACCAGCTCAGCGGCATTCCCATCCATGGTGGAGACATCTGTCACTGTCTTCTCCCGCAACGACTTCTCGTCGTCTTCGTCGATCAGGACCAGCTCTGCCTTGATGGTCTCATCATAGCCCAGCACTTTCTTTGTCTCCTCTTCATCATCGATGTTCTGGTAGCCCATAAATATCATTGTTACTGGCTGATCTGCGCTGGCCTCCAGGGCTTCGCCAACACAGGGTTTGTCTTGGGGCTGAGGGTTCACAGCATGCCCTTTGCTGGGTTTGTGTACCATTTCCAGCTTTGCCTCCTTGAAGAGCATTTGCTCCTTCATATGACTAAGGTTTCCATCGGCTACCGCATTTCTGTCTGACACAGTCATTGTTTCATACCCTCCTTTTACACTTGATTGTCCAGCTTTTTGTATAAGTTCATCTACGTCCTTTGAGCTTAATTTATGTACTCCATTTTCTACCACTGTGCCACCAGAGTGAACCTCATAGACTACCTTGGTACCATCATCATAGACTTTGAATCCTCTTTGATGGGCCTCATCTGGGCCAACAGGTGAAGCAGAGACAATCTTGGTCTCTCCTGTCTGTTTGTCTTTCTCCACATTAATTTCCATGGTGCACAAAGCTTGAATGAAAACAAGAGAGGAAGTGCATGTTACAACAAAAAAAGCCAGTGAATGGTTAATTGCCAAAAAGACAAAGAAAACTACTGTGCCCCTTTTCCTACCTCCTGCTTCTAAAGGGCCAAGTGTTCTACGTTAAGAGGTGGGATGCAACACTGTGGACAGAGATAGTTATTACACTACAGCTTTTTATGCAGCTGGAGGCCAGGCATACCTGCGGCAAACAGGACCTAGTCTTCCCGCTCACGCTGCATGGAGCTGTCTCTGGTCAATTAGGAGCGCCAAGAGCACTTGGGTTAGGTGTAATTTAGACAAAGGGAGGTGACAGCATGCAGGTTGCCCTTAACCTTTCCGTTCTGAACTTGCCTCAAAATTCAGAGAGAAACTCATCTCCAGGAGCCTCTCTGCTCTCTTCTCCTCTGCCATCAAACTGCCAGTTAGTGGGTAACAAGTTTTGTTTGCGGCAAGTAACACCCAGACTGTCGTATTACCAATGCTTGTTCTTGCTTAACTCTTCCATCCGTAGCATTCAAAACATTTTAGAGAGGTGAAGAAACATTGTTTACCCCTGTTCTACAGGTGGGAAAACAGAATGACACAGGAATGGGATAATCTCTCCTGCAGATGAGTGCCAGGGCAGATCTCAGCTTCCACACCAAGGCAAGTGACCTCTGCTTGCAGGTTAAAAGAATGTACAAAACGGCCAAGAAATGCTCCCTCATTTATTTTAATTAGGCCCTAAGCACCATTGCCAAAGTTAAAGAAAAAAGTAGTAACAAACTGATTTTCAAAGTGTCATGAAACAACAGGTAAAAACATGCATGTGAGGGATGCTGCTTTAGGATAGCAAAGAAGCTTTTCTAGCAGTTAAGAAGGACGCAGTAACAAGATGGAAACTGTAGAGACCACACAGTAGGAATAGACAGGCAGTCTACACTGCTCTAACGCCCATTTCGAGATACACTGGGATCTCACTAGACAGCTTTTCAAATAAAAATGTGCAAAGGTCTCACAGATTTTCCAGAAGTTGTCATCTGTTTAAGCATTCCTTGTGTGCAGATGAGGACATTTTGGCTCCTGGACAGACATCCACACACACTTAATTACAAATTACCACAGGAAGTGACGAGTGTTCGTGAAACTTACAGTGACCATTTCCTCCAATGAACCTCAGTGGTATAATTGTGATTTGTCTTACCAGGGGACACCACAAACTGATGTGTTGGCTTTTTTCCCTGACTTATTTTCAAGTGAGTATAGAATATCCTTGCCCCCAAAATGAATGTAGATTGTATGCTTGTATTTAAACAAATCATGAATATAAAGAAATTACTCTTACTTGAATATATTCCCTCAGTCTTATTAGTCACACACAGTAGATTTTTTTTTCCATATCCTTAAAGCAAAGTATTTCATTAGCAATAGGACGTTTATCATGAGGTGCATCATGACCCCCCCTACAGCTCTAGACAGAAAATTCATGTATTGCTGAGTGGGTACACGCTGGCCCCTGTAAGACAGCCTCCTCTGGCCCCCGGGGGTGCAGTCTGGTAGCCAGCCCAGCCAAATGGGGGTCTGGCCATCTACGTGCTGTGTGCCTCTGCCCAGACCTTGGTCAGCCCTGGAAGGGCTGGTTCGGTCAAGTGCAATGCCGCACAAACACCTTCATGGGGCCGGAGGATGGACTTGGTGGTGGGTGAAGGAGCATTGCTGACTCTGGAGCGAGGGGTTGCTGGAGGTTGGAGTGGGCTGCAGAAGCAGGGATCTCGCCTTGCCCGTTGCAAGCTAGGGGAATATCCCTAAAGACTGTATTTTACTACTGCTTTGGGAGGTTTATGGACCATCTGTGTCCACAGCTGTCATGACCCTGAGCACAGGGTGACTGTCTTCAGGTGGAAGTAGGCGCAGCAGTTTTCTGATCTCCCGCCCCATGCTGGAGTTTTCATCCCCTGGCCATCCCACAGCAGCCAGGAAGAGGCTGCGGGGGTGAGAGGTGGGCTCTGCTCCGCAGTGTGCCTCAGGAGACTGAGGGGCAGCTGACATGGACTGAAGCAGGGCGATTTAGGCTGGAAATAAGGAAAAACACTGTTGCCCCAAGGCCAGTAGCAGTTAAGCCCTGGAGCAGGTTGCTCTGAGGAGCTGTGGCAGACTGCATCACGGTGCAGCTCAGCAAGCAGTTGGCGTGGATCACTTGCTTGAGACTGTCCCAGCCCAGGAGCTGGTGGGCAAGTGTCCTTCAAGTCTCATGCAAGTTATTCTGCCCTGAAGCCTTTAATCCAACTCATGGGGGTAATGAAACAAAAAGACATGGGTGCCACCAATGGCGGTCTGGAATTTGCTCCCTTCTTGGTGCAGCTTCTTGGGTGGGAGTGAAGGGAGGAGGAAAGGAAGAGGAATTTGGTTTATTAGCTTGGCCCCCAGGCCTTGGGTGAGGGGGCTCTGAACATCACCTGACCTCACCAGGGATGCTCAGGCAGATATTGTTTAACATCTGCAAACATTTCAGAGTTAAAAGTCGGGGTTGGCCAGCCAACGGTGCAGATGCTAGAAATGACACGCTAGCAGGTTTTTGAGTGGCGGCCAGGTGAACTGAAGCAAAGCTGAACTATGGGGGAGCAACAGCACATCCAGAAAATCATCTCTGATGGGCAGAAGTTCTTAATTTGTCCTGAGCACCACTGCCCTGTAGAGAGGGTACTGCCAGCCCACCAACAGGCCGCCTGCTACCTTCTTGGCGAGAAGCAGCATCCTGAGCTCTGCTGGAGCCCCTGTGCTTCTCCTCTTTGAAAAATAAAAATATTATATAGGGGCATGACTTTTCAGTAAAGGCTGCTGATTTTCCTGTGAAATGGTTGAGTACCATGTTATTGCATATATTTTTAGTGCAGAAGAGGGTGCAATCTGCCAGACCCTCCCTATTTTGATGAACAAATTTCATTCAGTAGTGTGCATTAAAAGAAGGCTTGTATAAGCAGCCTGAATTCAGAAGCAGATGGGGAAAATCTGTCAGTTAAATCCTGTGGACCTGGACATATTAAGGAAGAATGGCAAGATACATCTTTTTATCTATGGTATGGAGTACTGATAAGTAATAATGTCCGACCTATTAAGAACACTTTGGGCAACAAGTTCTAGCACTACTTGGAAGACTCTCTTGTACTGGCTGATCTGATCTAGAAAGTTTAGAGGTGTGGTCCTTGTGTATTTTATGTTTGGCTAATTTGCTTAAGCATTTGCCACTGTCAACATTGTCTTTTCATTTCTTCTACTGTGATTTCAGCGGCAGTGTTTTTAAGATATTGACATAACATGCTGTTTATGACCTGCCCCAGGGATGACATTAAAACAACTTGTGCAAGTAAATGCATTAATATACATGAGTTTCTTAGAAAGCTGTTCACTAGTGAAATGCATTGCCATAGGAGAAGTAAATAACAGAACCTGCTTTATCTGCCTGTATGCATAATGTTCGCTCTCTGCAGGAAAACCTAGCAGCCCAGCTTGCCAAAGTAGCTGAAAATTGAACTAATGCTGACTTCTAAAGTGTCTTTATTTAACCAGAGCTTATTTACTGCAAAATGTGCTCTATTAATACAACACAAAACTATCTGACAATAGAGCTGGAACTGAAAGCAGTACATGAAGATGACAGCCTGTATTCACAAGTACAAGTTTTCTGCATGAGCTTTAATTACAGTGTAACATGAAGCAGTGCTTCATGACAACAAGATCCCAACGTACAGATGAAAGGATCTGGCTTCTGGCTGTTATGTGGATTCAGAGGCTGTTCTTTAAAAAAAAATAAAAAATCTTAATAGACTTTAAGCTTGTTTTAAAATGGATGCTTACAGTCTACCTTTGAGCACATACACTCGTGCCTTTTCTTTAAGCTATTGCACACACACAATACTCTTATAAGGACTATATGAACAAGGCTTCTGGGTCATTTGAAGAATGAAATAAATTATTGTATATGTGGTGTTGACAAAATGGCACAAAACACACACGGAAAAGCTTGCTTTTAAGACAGATCAGGGTAAGCACTTGTGGAAGGGAAGCTTTTGGAATGGCTTGCAACAGGACCTCTGAACAAAATGACATATCCCATAGCTGTGTACAGTGTCTTAGCTGCAGACATTGCTTTGCTATATTTGTTAACCCATTCTTCAAGTAAGCCACCTTTCATTCCCAATTCTTGGGACATCTCTTAAGTACCCACCAGCAATTTGGTCTTAAGATAGGGAATACACTGTTTAGAAAAGAAGGATCTTGAAAATAAGAAAAACATACAGCTTTTAACAATCATGTTGTTACATTTAACACACATACTCAGTCTGAAAAATAAGTGTTAGAAAATTCTCTATATGACTCCAAGCTCAAAACATGCTGTAATTCTCCCCACTTTTTCCCCAAGAAGAAAGAATGATATACAAATAAAAACGACATGGATGTTTGAAGCACCTACAGGGTCTTGTGAGTGCCTGTCTGTCTTCTTCATCTTAATGGAAGTTGCATGGGTATAATGGAGGAGGCGAAACCTTGGCCTAAATACGATGTATTTGCATGAGCAGAGATGGAAAGAACTGACTGTTTCCATGTAAAAAAATCGGATGCGTTTCCTATGCCAGTTGTATGTAGTTCAACAACATTGTTTCGAGAGTGCTCATTGCTGCTCAAAAAGCCTTGACTTATTTACAAAATACAAATCAAGCGGCATTTCCTGGCATTTAAATGATATCGGGACACCAGACCCATTAAGGTAATATAACAAAAAAAGTTCATGGCTACTGGACTGGTATCATAATACTTTGCTCCTTGAGACTTACCAGCTACTCTGCTTGCTCCGTCCCGCCCAGGAACTGGCTCTGCTGTTCGTGAATAGAGGGTTGGGAGTTCAGGGATCTGAGAGTAAATGTAATTTACTGCATCTGGTGTCAGAGAACAGGAAACAGTTAGATTCGCGCTATGAGCCCCAGCGGCTTCATTGCTTAGACAGCAGAGTGTTGTCAGCCCTGACAATAGTCACTGGAGCTTTGTACTAGATAATTGGATCAAAGCAAACAAAGTGCAAAGTCACTGTCGTGTGATTGGTGTTCAATAGACTAGCTGAGGCAGGAGGGAATGGGTCCAGATGACTCAAACCTTATGTCAGTTGAACACATAAAATTATTTGTCAGGATGTTCTGGATTTATCAAGTCCGTGACCTTTAAAATGTGGGGGAAAGAGGGGGAACATAAGGAACAAACCTAACGTGATACCCAGAATACATGACATTTCAAATAGAGATATAAAAGCCTAAAAATGCTACTGTTGACGGAATGGGATGAAAGGCCAACTCTTTTGCACTGGTGGTTTCCAATATTATTGAACTAGCATTTGGCTTGTTGTTCTTAAAGCTGAAAATTAGCTAATAATTAAATCACGTATAGATAATGATAGGGTGCCTGTTGTGACCTTCAGTAGGTATGAAGCGCCTGCCAGTTCTGCAGTGGCATCCTTCATTAACAATCCTGAATTAGCAGAAAGCCATCTTAAAGGACTGACTTGTTTCACATTTGAATTTACGGTTGTTTAGCATAAGTTAAATATGTTCTTTAGAAGAGACATTAAAAAAATTTACAAATATTTACTGGGGCATGTTTTGTGGCTGGGTTAAAAAGAAGTAAGTGTTTGTCATTCTGCTGGCATTCAGTGGCTGAGCTAAACACAGAGCTCAGAGGAGAGATGTGAAAATAACTGACAGTTCAGGCGCCAAATCAAAATGAAAAAAAAAAAATCACATTCATTCCTATCAGCTGGCAATTTTTTTCAATTTTGCATGGAAACGGTTACATTTCTGTTCAAACATAAGATCCTATCTGGTGTGAAACAAATAATTCTTTTCCCTCCAAAGCTACTTTGCTGGTTATAATTTAAGTTGTTGAGCCTTCGGTATGGCCTGGTCCATGTGTCAGAATCTGCTTTCCTTGGTGTCTCTTGTTATAAGCCTGTGAGATAGGAAAATCAGTGTAGACCATAAAAGTGAATGGGTGGAAGGAGAGAACAATGAAGTCTCCTCTTGAAGGCTGCTTGGCTGCCTCTGGTGAAGGGAGATACTTTCATCACTTTCCCAAGGGCTAGCACCCATCCCAGAAAAAAACCATGCACCTGGTGGCATCCTCAGCGAAGACATAATGTGCCACCTCTAATCCCAAAGTGTGCTCCTTTGGTATGAAAATTGGGCCTGGTATTCTTACAGCCTTAACAGCCTGCAGTGGCCACCAGTGTTGCTGGGTGCAGGAAGGTAGTGATGACAGTCACCAGGAAGGCTCTCCATCCCTCCATGGAGCACTGTTGGTGACTCAGGTAAGGCGGTCCCTTTTCCCCCTTTCTGTGTCAGAGGAGGGTAGCACAGATGCATAGTGCAAATTCATTCCAGAAAGCCAGGAAGTTATTATATACATTCAGTTTGCAACACATGAATTTGAAAAAGAACTCGGCTAGGGAAATATTATTTTATTTCATACTTCAGTGGACAAATAGCAGTCTTGGCAAATGGGCTTTTATATTTTCAATGCATATTGTTTCCTAAAAGTTTTTTATTTTTAGCAGTAGAGCCTAGGAGAAATAATTATTTAGGACACAGCTGACTGAGCAATGGCCAGCAACAGCTGCTTTCTTTTGCAGGATTTCTTGCCTCTGATGAGAAATTGGTACAATGCTTGGTGTTGTTATTCTGGGAAATATCACCAGCAAATGAGCAGGCTATTATTGAAAACTGGAGTAATTTCTCAGAAGAAAGAAGTGGGTACTCTGTTTCTGGGTCAGAATAAGAAGGCACTTTGTGTTCTGGAAATGGCAGAAATTTAGTAATTATTCACCCTGTAGGGTATACTGCTGCAACAGTAGTTTCAGTACACACTCATCCAGTGACTTGAGTGACAGACCTATCTGTCCACATGTGGGTGTAATCAATGCATTGCGCTGCTTAACTAATTGTCCTTACTTCTTTTGCAGTCCGTGAGAATAAATAGGCATGGTTAGGGTACAATTCTCATTCCGGGGCACTGCAGGAGGCAGAATTCTTTGCAAAATTTTGTTGTGCCCCAGTGCCGGTACAGGGAACTGAGCTGACAGTCCTGGCAGCTAGCATCGTTGACGTCTAGCAGTAAGCAAGATCAATTGTACAACTTGATGGCAAAACTCCCACTTTGATACTATACATGTCTGTGGACCTTATTAAGTTGGGGTTTTTTGCATACTCTGTTAGGAGACAATACCTAGGTAGGTGTCAGGTGTTGTTAATATTGACCCAGTTTAGAAACTTTTCTGGATGTTACTTAGAATAATATATTAAAAAATTAGCTCCAGGGCTCCTGACAATCTCTTGTTACTGTCCTGAGAAGGGAACACCGTGGTGGGGACATTGGGTGTAGGATTCTCATGTATTTTCTTCTGAAGCAAGTGGTGGTACTATGTGTCAGAAATGTTGTAATTGACTAGAAGAAGTTGGGGCTTGGATGATTCTGGCAGTTCCTGTCTTTCCCCCCCCAACAAAAGGAACATGCTCATTTTCCTTCATCTCACTGGCAACAAGGTCTGTTTCATTTAGCACCTTTAAACAGGATACAGGAGATCAATTTTACAAGGAGTGGATGAGATGCAAATTAGCATTTTGTTTGCATGAGAAGTAAGACAGAACATAAATTAAAGCATTTGAACTGACTGCATTCAATATCTTAATTTCAGCCTTTGATGAGTTATTAATATCCAAGGATCCTATAAAACATGTCCTGTGGCTTTTTGTACTACTTACAACAAACTCCATTTTAGCACTATGGCACTCTTCCCATACTACCAGACAGACAAGTGCTTGGGAAAACATATGGGGCTGGATAATCCTTCAAGGGTATTTACACAAAACTAAACCTTCAACTAAACCTTCAGAACAGCCCAGAATAGCTCCCATGTAGAGGCTCGTGGCCAAATGTCATACGAGCTCATTTTGCAAGGGCTGGATTATCTTTAAAAAGTCTGACTAACACTTAAATTAGTGCCTAAGGTCTTCTGCAAGTACTGGCTCCCTGGACAGGGCTGTTCCACCTGCAAAGCCCTCTGGAGCTTACTGTCTATAATATTTGAAAGCCTTGGAGATTAGGGGATGTCCCTGATGACTGGGAGAGGGAAAATGTCATACCCGTCTACAGGAAGGGACCAAAAGAGGGCCCAGGAAACTAGAGGCCCATCACTCTTACTTCATTCCCTGGGAAAGTGATGGAAACTAGAAAGTATTACAAACCAAATGAAGCAGGTGATTGGGAAAAGCCATCACAGATTTACCAAAGGCAAATCATGACAGACTAACCTGATCATCTTCTACAACAAAATAACATCTTCTACTGACATGGGGAGAGCAGTGTATGTTGGACTTCAGCAAGCTTTTGACACTGTTTCCCATGGCCGCCTCCTGACAAACTGTCAAGATATGGATTGGATAGGTGGTCTGTGAGATGGGTGGGAAATTGGCTGACAGGCTGCAAAGGTTGGTGATCAATGGTTTTTACTCAGGTGGCAAGAGGTGCTGTAACTGTGGCAGCCACAGATGCAGATCAAATTAAAAAGTTACTTAAAACCCTACAACTGAAAAACAATTGCTGATGAGTTTTTACAGGACACCTGGAAAGCACTCTACAAAGATCTGTACTTTACTCCTCTGAGGACATGCTGGTCTGTTTTGCTGTTGGGCTGCACAGCTGATCAAGATCAGAGGAGAGAAAACCAGAAAGGTCTCTAAGCAGCGTGCTGGGAACTTAACAAAGCAGGTCAGGTTTCCAGAGCCATAGCTTTGCCAAATGTATGCTAAAACATACCAAATTCAAAAGAAGTTTGTGCAAACTGTAGAGTTACTGTAATTGTGGCTTCTGTATGTTCTCTGAAGTATAGACTCACAGAATCATAGAATAGCTTGGGTTGGAAGGGACCTTTAAAGGTCATCTAGTCCAAGCCTCCTGCAATGAGCAGGGACATCTTCAACTAGATCAGGTTGCTCAGAGCCCCATCCAACCTGACCTGGAATGTTTCTAGGGATGGGTCATCTACCACATCTCTGGGCAACATGTCCACCAATGTTTCACCACCCTCATTGAATAAATGTCTTCCTTATATCTAGTCTAAATCTATGCTCTTTTAGTTTAAAGCCATTACCCCTTGTCCTATCTCAACAGCCCCTACTAAAAAGTCTGTCCCCATCTTCCTTATAAGCCCCCTTCAAGTTCTAAAGGGCTGCAGTAAGGTCTCTTCTCCAGGCTGAACAACCCAAACTCTCTCAGCCTCTCCTCACAAGAGAGGTGCTCCATCCCTCTGATCATTTTTGTGGCTCTCCTCTGGCCTTGCTCCAACAGGTCCATGTCTTTCCTCTGCTGAGGACTCCAGAGCTGGATGCAGTACTCCAAGTGTGGTGTGACCAGAGTGGAGTAGAGGGGGAGAGTCACCTCCCTCAACCTGCTGGCCACACTTCTTTTGATGCAGCCCAGTATGTGGTTGGCTTTCTGGGCTGGGAGCACACCTTGCTCATAAGTAGCATGTAGTTTGCGTACAGATGGCCAAAGACTGCAGGGGACAAATTTACCCCTGAGAGAGATTCATCAGTCAAGGGAGTTACATCAGATGTTAAATGTGGCTTTTATTTTATATATACATTGAGCCGTAAACATATGCCAAATGGAGTAAGAGCTCTCTCCTTTCCATTGTTCATGATGTGCATGTGGAATAGCACTACAGCACGCCTGGTTTTGACTGAAGACCTGAGCATCATTCCTAGTGTCATCTCAGGACTTGTTAAATGGAGAGCATGTCAGTGACAAGCCACCAAGAAACTGGCAGAAGCATGACTGCAGGTGAGAGGGCCACAGCCCCCAGCCTCAACATTTCTGCTTTGCTTTCTCTCATGTTGTGATCTATGAAGGCAAAGTGTATTCTTACTCTGGAAAACATGGGATTTGTGTTTATTGTGCCGAGATGACTTCAAGCTCAGAAATGCTCATTGCCAAACACAACTATTTTCTGGAAGGGTGGGAAGGACACAGAGCCACTTGATCGGCCAGTGGTGTTCACCACCACTTCTCCCCTCCCCTCCCCTCCCAGTGGTCTGTGAGGGTGGGAAATTGGCTGACAGGCTGCAAAGGTTGGTGATCAATGGTTTTTACTCAGGTGGCAAGAGGTGCTGTAACTGTGGCAGCCACAGATGCAGATCAAATTAAAAAGTTACTTAAAACCCTACAACTGAAAAACAATTGCTGATGAGTTTTTACAGGACACCTGGAAAGCACTCTACAAAGATCTGTACTTTACTCCTCTGAGGACATGCTGGTCTGTTTTGCTGTTGGGCTGCACAGCTGATCAAGATCAGAGGAGAGAAAACCAGAAAGGTCTCTAAGCAGCGTGCTGGGAACTTAACAAAGCAGGTCAGGTTTCCAGAGCCATAGCTTTGCCAAATGTATGCTAAAACATACCAAATTCAAAAGAAGTTTGTGCAAACTGTAGAGTTACTGTAATTGTGGCTTCTGTATGTTCTCTGAAGTATAGACTCACAGAATCATAGAATAGCTTGGGTTGGAAGGGACCTTTAAAGGTCATCTAGTCCAAGCCTCCTGCAATGAGCAGGGACATCTTCAACTAGATCAGGTTGCTCAGAGCCCCATCCAACCTGACCTGGAATGTTTCTAGGGATGGGTCATCTACCACATCTCTGGGCAACATGTCCACCAATGTTTCACCACCCTCATTGAATAAATGTCTTCCTTATATCTAGTCTAAATCTATGCTCTTTTAGTTTAAAGCCATTACCCCTTGTCCTATCTCAACAGCCCCTACTAAAAAGTCTGTCCCCATCTTCCTTATAAGCCCCCTTCAAGTTCTAAAGGGCTGCAGTAAGGTCTCTTCTCCAGGCTGAACAACCCAAACTCTCTCAGCCTCTCCTCACAAGAGAGGTGCTCCATCCCTCTGATCATTTTTGTGGCTCTCCTCTGGCCTTGCTCCAACAGGTCCATGTCTTTCCTCTGCTGAGGACTCCAGAGCTGGATGCAGTACTCCAAGTGTGGTGTGACCAGAGTGGAGTAGAGGGGGAGAGTCACCTCCCTCAACCTGCTGGCCACACTTCTTTTGATGCAGCCCAGTATGTGGTTGGCTTTCTGGGCTGGGAGCACACCTTGCTCATAAGTAGCATGTAGTTTGCGTACAGATGGCCAAAGACTGCAGGGGACAAATTTACCCCTGAGAGAGATTCATCAGTCAAGGGAGTTACATCAGATGTTAAATGTGGCTTTTATTTTATATATACATTGAGCCGTAAACATATGCCAAATGGAGTAAGAGCTCTCTCCTTTCCATTGTTCATGATGTGCATGTGGAATAGCACTACAGCACGCCTGGTTTTGACTGAAGACCTGAGCATCATTCCTAGTGTCATCTCAGGACTTGTTAAATGGAGAGCATGTCAGTGACAAGCCACCAAGAAACTGGCAGAAGCATGACTGCAGGTGAGAGGGCCACAGCCCCCAGCCTCAACATTTCTGCTTTGCTTTCTCTCATGTTGTGATCTATGAAGGCAAAGTGTATTCTTACTCTGGAAAACATGGGATTTGTGTTTATTGTGCCGAGATGACTTCAAGCTCAGAAATGCTCATTGCCAAACACAACTATTTTCTGGAAGGGTGGGAAGGACACAGAGCCACTTGATCGGCCAGTGGTGTTCACCACCACTTCTCCCCTCCCCTCCCCTCCCAGCCTTCACCTGGACCCCTCTAGGCTCTGAGCTCCCTGTAGTTGTGCTTTCTGCACACCCAAAAGCTCTGTCAGCACCATATCTATAGCACAAAAACATGCACAGGGACACAATGATGAGATAACTCACTTTCTGTTCAGTCATCGCATTTAGAATAAAAGGAGGGATGGACACAGGGCAAACTAATGTGAAATTTATGGACTGGAAGTCTTTCAGGATGTGGCAGCCATTGAAGACATTGCCCCAGTAGGCTGGTGTTGGGTTTTGGCCATGTTTTACACAGCCTTCCTATATTGTCCAATGGCTCTTACCATTTTCCTCTGCAGCATGTGTTACAGATGGTTGCCAGCCAGATGGCTGATATGCTGCAACAAAGCAAGTCCTACATGTTTTTGAAGGAAGGAAAAATCTATGTTACCAAAGTGATTGCAGCTAGCTGTGTACATGTTTTCTTCCTGCTCTGATCAGCTACCCTCACAGACTGTTGTCAGAGAGCAGAACACAGAGGACTTGCTCAGCTTTTCATCATGTAAAGATGTACAGTCACATCGTGCCCACAGTGGGAAGGCTACCAGGACAGCTTGCAGCCTCGGTCATCCCTAGAGGAGCAGAGTATGGTACTACTTATAGGATGACCCCCGACCGCCCCAGCCCACGAGGACCAGCTGCTGAGAGGAAGAGACAAGATCTGTGAAGCAAGTGGTCTGGAAGAGAAGAGGTACCAGTTCACTTAGCTATATCCCCTGCTCCCTCTGCTTGCACATTTATTCCAGAGGCATTCTCTTCTCTTTGGCATAATTTTGCAGTTTTCTGTTACCCTTCAGAAATCCTGAGCTGTCCTTGCTTCTGGCTCAGTCTGTGAGGGAGGGATCCACTGAAAGCAGGCAACATCTGGAGAGCAGTGAGGCTCCTCTTGAACCCACTGAAATGCTACATTGCTACAAGAAAATACTTTTGGGGAAACTGCTGCTTCGTATTTGCTAGCTGGGACTTCCTTTGGTTCCTGTTTTATCACTACATGCATGAAGAGGCAGGCTGCATCTTGCAGGAGTCATAAAAGCTCCTGGGCTCTTTGGGTGCTAATTTCTGTAGGCACCATTCCTCTTTTGGGAACTTACCAACAACCGTGGTGAACCTGCACAGGTACAAAATATTTGCCATTCTGGATCTTTATCTACTTTGAGGGAGCCAATTTTAAATGCTTCAGGAGGAAGGACGAGTAAGTTCTTACCACGCAGCATGTAAATGTAATTTAATGTAAAACTTGAATTGTATTGCTAACAAAACTGAAAATTTCTGAACTAGATCCTCGAGTTAAAAAAAAACCACCCTCTGACTAAGTAATATTAATCACCTCAAAAAAAGAGCTCTAAGTCAGATCATCCTACTGATCAGTTAGGATCATCCTACATATTCCTCCCCTATACTCACAGTACAGTTGGGCATGCCTTTGTCAGCAGCTCGAGGAGCTAGTCTTGACCTCAGTATTTTGAATCTTGTCAGTTCAAAGACACACACTGAGACTGAGTGTCTGTACCACAGAGTTATGTGCCGGTGGATCAGCATGATATCCTTCCTGGTCCTAAGGGTCCAGGAGAGGCACTACAAGGGTCTCTCTAGCTTCCTGGGAACAAACCATACTATTTGCTGACCCAGATACCTAAATTTATAGCTCAGTATTTAGACTGATCACACATAGTGGGACACTAAGTTCATAAACTAGGAATTATTACATCCTCATCCACCCATGGGAGGTTTTCCTTCTGCAAGAATCATCACACAGAGAATTTTGTTCATCAGTGAAGTAATCTAATTTTAGTAGTTGTTCCTGTATATTAGGAATAGTCCTCATTGTATTTAACTGGCTATGAATAGAGCATGAGCACATAGAATGGAGAAGATTGACCACAGAGAGGTGAAAAAGAGCCTGCAATGCAGGTCTATCATGTGGTGAAAGAGGTCAATAACATAGTAGTTGCATGATGTCTGCTTTAAGTCACCCATGCTGTTCTTTCCCTGTGTGTACACATAAGAAGAGGTGGAGCTCTGCCAAAGGAATACTGTTTCACCACAATAGTGACGTTTGTGCTTGCACTATAGCAATACCAAAGAAAAAGGTAATGGCTCTAGCAATAAATCAGAAACATACAATGAAGAGAAGATCCCCCACTCTGTAAACCTTTTCAACAAAGCTATAGTAACAACCCCTGTTAAACCCAAAGCTATACAATAATAAAAAGGCACTTACCACCATCCTGGTGTGAGAAACTCTGTGAGGGAAAAAAATAAGATGTTTGGTTAAACCTTCTATATTTTGGATATAATTTGAATGAAGTCTTGATTTTTATGCTAGGCTTGCTTTTATGGTTCTTTGTAATTTTTAACGGGTAACTGGGGATGTGGCTCCTCAGGTTGAGTTGCCATTAGAAGCTGAGGGAGAGGGACATGGTGTAACCAAAAAGGAGAACACTGCTGCTTTTTTGCAGGCTGTAATGTTCAGAAGTGGCATTTGTGGTGAATGCCACTATCTCTGGGTGCCACTGGGAGCAGGGAAGTTTGAGATGCCTTCCAGGATCCTGCTGACATCTTTCAGTGGGGTTTAAAGCTCACATTGTTTCCTTGCAGTTAAGCTAGGGAGGTAGTCTTTGAAATCCCTCTTCCGAAAAGCTGGGTGGGAAGGGGAAATCCAAATAACCCAACCAAAATAGATCTGATGCCTCTGTATCTTCTCTAGTCTTGTTCATCCTGGTTTGAGCTACATGCTCCACAACTGCCCTCAATCTTCCCATAAATATATGAATTATAACTGCTGCTTTCAAACGGTGCTAAGAGTCTACTTTGGTTTCAATCTGTACCTGACTGTCTTGTTTTTTTTTTTTTTTTTTTTTTTCTCAGTCTCCTTTAGTTTCTCCAAAATGATTTGTTCTTTGGCAGATATTTGGGATTCTTCACTTTCTAATTTCTGTATTTCTTGTTCCAGCCTGTGGAAGACAGACAGACATGCACATACACACAAAAATAAAACACGTAAAATTTTTTTCAACGAGCCATAGTTTCCTAGGTATTAATTAGCATTTCAATGTCATCAGGAACAACTTTCACTCGTTATTCACAACTGCCTTCCTAGCACATGAAGGGCATGTGAATTATTTGTAAAACAGACAGACCTATTTACCAGAGAAACAGTAATTCACTTACTATCCATTTCTGCAAAAGCATGTACAGATTAACTAAAAATATACCTCGGTATCCCTTCACCCCAATTCCTGTAATATCTCTCAGATATGTACTTTCATTTTAGAAATCATGGTACAGGATATAACCATAAACATGCAGTAATAGTTAGAGAAATAGGTGTCTTCTAATGCTTCCGTACTCCAGACAATGAAACTGGAAATACTAGTTGGAAGCTGGCAGTCCACCGGTTGTGTTAGGAGTTTCTCTTGAACCAGTACTTTGCCCACTCATGACAATAACACTTTGGGATATCCATCCATGCTTCCTACTGTTACAGCGTGATACTGTGGACCCCAGAGGCTTCAGGTAATAAAACACACAGGGCGCTCAGAAAATAGACTTATTTTGCTAGGCATTAATCATTCAGCACTGTCGTTTCTCTTGTCGAGACCTAATGGCACTCACTCCTTAAGATATGTTCATTGTGATTTGGGATACACTTTAACCAGGGTTAGATTCTCCATTACTTTAACTCAAACCTCCTTTTATTGACAGGATTTATGCAGGTGCAGGAATATTCCCTCTTTCTTTCTCTGTATTTTTATGTGTGCCACCATCTTTATTTTCTCACTTTTGACCAGAAAAAAAGCCCCCAAACCCCACTGTAATATGAGCTAAGACGAACACTTTTGAACAGGGATAGTTACCTAAAACTCTCTTCATCTACAGAAAAAGCTGTAGCTGCTGGCAGCTTGTTGGACCATATTTCTTTGTATGCAACAGATCAGCATTGCCCAACACTTTTGTTACTCACGGCTGCTCGCTCCTGCCTTTCTGCCACCACTTCCCGAGTGAAGGATCATGGCAGTGATTGGAGCTAAAGGGACACATTTTTGCTCTTTCCCAGCCCTGCTCAGCACAGGACTTCATTAATGCTTGTTCGATCACAAGGCAGAGGGCAAGGAGGAGGTGACAGTGAGCGAGCAGGTAGGGAGGAGGGAGGGAGGGATTGCTCCTTTCAGGGGCTTGACAGCTTGAGCTGCTCATGAAATTCATGTGTCTAAATATAGATGCAAGGATCTAACTTAAGGCACACACCTGGGAATTTTTTCCCCACTTTCTAATTGTGCAAGGATGAAAGATGTGTGGCACTTGCTGATAATGCTTTTCATTAGGGTGAGGCAAAAGTGTCACAGCCTCAAGTTGTTGCAGATGGAAAAAGGCAGATTTTGCTCTCCTGAAGTATGTGAATACTTAATAGTCTCAAATTCATGGTGGTTTGTCAAACTGCTGTTTTTGTCTCTTAAAGGCAACCTCTTCATCTCCAAGTTGAAATGGCTGAATTGCAGTGATTTGAAAATGAACTGTTGGAAAATACGGCTCCAATCCACTTAATGTTTTCTCCAAATTAATATGAAATTGAAAACATGCAAAATATTTTGATACAAACAAAATATTTTGTTTTGCTAAAGTGGAACAATTTGATACAGGATGCATTTTCCCCCTTATGTTGAGATTCAGCAAGACAGCTTTCAAAAAATACGGTTTCATCTTGACTTTTCTTCCCAGGAATTCTTTTAAAATACCTAGTGAATTGAAAAAATCCATTGTCACTGAGGTCAGCCGTTGCCATGCTCCTACTTAATGAATTTAGATGTCAACAGGAAAGTGGCTTCTTTTCCTTCCCTATCCCTGGAAACAATTAGTAGATCCACATACATTTATACCTCGCTGATAAAGACATTTCAAATACTCTGCTGTGCTGTCTGGTGAAACTACATTATGGAGCTGGGTGAGTCAGGGTTTGCTGGTATGTTTCTTTTCTTCCCAAGTGAATCACTAAGCAGCATTTTCAGGATACATATTCTGTAGCCTGGTACATTTTGCTCTCTACATGATCCAGGATGAGACTGGAAAATGGGAGTGCATAGTAGTCAGCAACAACAAAATACAGGGGAAAATAAAAGTCCATTTTCTTTCAATGATCTGGACATTAGTTAGTAATTTATGACAATGAAAATACTATGAGCATACATGGTGTAAGGCAACTCATTTGATGTCAGTGAAGTTATAGGCACGTAGACTCCTTGTAATTTTGGGTGAACACAAGTGCACCATTTTTTGTGCACTAGTTCAAAACTGTAGAAGGTTTTTCATTGTTTGGTCTTCCAGGGAAAGTTTGCTTCTAAGCATGCGCACATGCACTTGCACATGCACACCCGGCAATTGGTTTGATTTATACTTTCTTACTTTCTGGCTACTTGCTCTTTTGTTTTTATTTGTTAATGTCTCTTTTATCCTCACCTCGTGGTTCACTTCCTCAGTTTCTGCTTCATTCATGCCAGCCTACCCTCACCATTAAAATTATTTGGGCCGATGCAACATGAGGTCACCCTATTTTGACAACGTGCTCTGTTTGTTTTTTTTTTTTTCCTTTTTACCCCTGAATCCCCTCTTCAGCTCCTTGCAGAAGCGATATTAACAACAACTCACTGAAGAAGAAAGGGATGGAGGCAAAGCTGCCAGGATTTAGAAACATGAGTGAAGTTGGTAGGGACACAGATTTCCTGTGTGACATTGACTAAGAATGCATACAAACTCATCCCATAGGGCAAATTGCCCTTTTTCCACTGAAATCAGTGCTGGTAGAATGAGAGTCTTCCGGGGCCTGTGTAGAATGGGTCTGAATTCTTAATTGTGGCAGGAAAAATACGTATCATTCAGCCAGAATGTACCTTTTACATAGCACAGGGGTCATATACCAAGCATTAATATCCACAGGAGGTTGCTTTACACCATTTTGCCTGATTTTATACCACTCTTGTCTGTACTCTCTAGGCTTAAAGGCTGAGGTAATGCTGCTGAGGTGCTGAGGTAACAGAAATACTGAAGGGGACAGTTTCCACACAAGCTCTTGTATAGATTAATCAGGCACCACAGACCTCACTGGAAAATTTGGACCTAGAGTCTTCGGCACTTCCTTTGGGCTGCCTTTTTACACAGGGGCCAGCAATGCAAAAATCAAAATCATAATGAAAACTGAAGGGTTTTTTGCACCCTTTATTTTTTTAGTGAGCTTCGTATCACTCGAATGGCTGAGTGATAAGGAGAACTGCCTGCTTTTTTAGTAACAAGATATAAGAGACATGCAAATTTGGTCTGAAAAACAAAATGCACTGACATCACATCTGCTTTGAGCAACATGCTATATAATGGTTTAAACAGCAATAAATCCGTTCAGAGTGCACATGTGCACGTACGGATGTATACAAAATGCTTACATTCTTCCTGAGTAAAGCTGTTAAATATTCAATAAAGTCCTTTTCTTCTCGCCCAGTTTAAAAAGGATGTGCCGTAATTGTCATTAGACACCTGGCAAGGAAACCTTAGAATTCCCTTGTTCCTGGCTTCTTAGCAGATTTCAGGCTGGCATTTGAAAGACGGCTACAGCAATAAAGCCAGTTAAATAAACAACTAAAATACCTGGAGTGCCTACAGGGCAAAAACAAGAAAGAAAATGGAGATCCAGATGAAGCAGAAGTGGTGTAAGACAGACCATTAGTACTGCTGCTTCTTGGCCCAAGCAGTTACCTGATCACTGAGATTTGCTAAACTGTTTATATGAGAAAAAATGGGTCGGGGAGTCCGGAGTTGTTTTGGGACGGGCATGTGTTTTCAGTGGATGTACACAGAGCCCTATCTCCCCCAATATCACAGAAACAAACAGGGGAGATTTCGCCACTTAGAAAGCCAAGCCTGCCTGGCTGGTAGTCTGCCTGTCCCATGGTTTTCATCAATGGACAGCTGCCATGAGCACCTGAGGGTGTAACAGGATTTTTGGGGGCTGAGAAGTGCTGCCCATGTAAGCCAGGTGACCGTCCTGCTCACATTAATGGTGCTGTCCCACTACGAAGAAAAAGAAAACATGAACTGCAGAAGGGATGCTGTCTCTTGGACCGCATTTTGCTTTAGTCTGGGGGGACCCTCATTCCTTGGTGAGTAAGATTACAGGCTTGTAGGATAATTTAGGCTGGCAGTGACCTCAGGAGGTCTCTGGTGCAACCTCCAGCTCAAAGCAGAGTCAGACATGAGATCAGACCAGGATGCTCTTGGCTTGAAACTCCCCAATGATTCGGGGGGGGGGAAATGAGGCTATTCGCAGGCTTTCTCTTTTATAGTCTGTAGCTATCAGACATCATGCCCTGCAAAATTCAGACCAAAACTGTTCAGTACTGCAGGGGAAGGGGATGCACCAGACTGCTAAAGGAAGTCTGGTCTGTGTGTTTGGTGGGATTTTGACCCACACAAGTGTGGGCAAGGCGGGCAGTGCAGTTTCTGAGACGACAGAAGGTGGAAGCAGCAAATGAACCCTCCTGCAGAGATGCTGGGATCAGGGACCAAAGGAGTTCTCAGGCAGCACAGACAACTTTAATTTATGTAACGAAAAGGGGAGTTAAAGAGGGACATCTAAAAGGTGAAGAGGCAGAAGGGGATGTTTGGTACTGTGGTATGTGTACATGTGCATTTATGTTTAGCACTCAGTATCCAGCAGACATTATGTTTGGATACAGGGCTCTGTTTTGTGCTCCAGCCTGAAGGTGATGAATGCCCCTTCTCCAGGTGAAGGATTTCCTCTGTTTCCCATGCAAAGATATTGAAACCCAAAGACTTGGGCTGTCATTTTCCTCTCTGCTGAAAGGTAGAGGCTGTTCTGGCACGAGGTGCCTTTACCTTGACTCCAGGAAGGACCCCGAGCAGGATCCTGCAGGGCACCCACAGTCACACTCACACAGAGTCACACTGC